AGACTCTCCTTCAGGCCATGGAGGATAAAAATAGACAGGAGGGATGGGAGGAAAAGAAAATCATTACTAAGTTTTTTGAGAGATCCTTGGTGCGAGTCCCCATCCTCCCTCTCTTTGGGGAGAGGGCAGAGGATATCCCCTCTAGCCTCCAACCCTAGTGCAAATGTCCCTCCAATTGCCTTATATTCTTTCCCCTCAGAATGTTCTTTATGCTTTTCCCAGCCTGGGATGGGTGACTCATGTGTCAGCTTGACCGGGCCACAGATCCCACATGTGTGGTCAAATTTCGTGTTGGATGTGTCTGCAGGGGTGTTGTTGCATGAGATCAGTATATGAATCTATGGACTTGGAGTAAAGCCGATCGTCCTCCAGGTGTGACTGGGACTTCATTTTCCTGCAGACACCCTCTGACTTCCTCTGTGGCTTTGCCTTGTCCTAGTTCTCCAAGACTCAAACTCTATCCTGAGTCTCCAGCCTGCCAGGCTGCCCATCATATCATGAACCTGCTGATTCAGTGAAGTGTATCTCCTCTATACATGGGTATACATCCTAATGGAGCTGTTTCTTTGGAGAACTCTAATACAATTTCACTTCCTTGTAATCTCTGACTTCAACATCTATCCTATTTTACTTTCTCTTAGAATAATAGCTTCTCATCTGACATTTACCCAAACCTAACCTTTCCATGGTAACACTAAAACATGGAAAATAGGGGCAGGCGTTATGGTGCAGCTAGTTAAGCCACCTCTTAGAACCACCACACCCCTCATTGGAGTGTTTGTTCAATTCCAGGATCCTCTGCTTCTGATCCAGCTTCCTGCTAAGGAGCCAGAGAAGCAGAGGATGATGGCTCAAGAATTTGAGTTCCTGTCACCCAGATGGAGTTCCTGGCTCCTGGCTTCAGCCTGGCCAACCTCTAGCTGTTGTGGCTATTTGGGGAGTGAATCAGCAGATTAAAAAAGATTCTCTCTCTCTCTCTCTCTCTCTCTCTTTATCTCTTTCTCTATCTCTATCTCATCTCTATCAATTTCTCCTCACCTTCCAATTAAATTAATATCATTTTCAAATTAAATATGAAAAATAGACTGATATTTACATTATATTTGCTTTCTTTAAAGCCATATATATTTGGGTAGAACTTACCCTACAGAAAAGCTCATTCTTTTTAGGAATGTCATTAGATGGATCTTAATAAACACATGCATACGGTTCTGAAACCACTATCACAATCTAAACACAGAATGCTTCCATCAATCCCATCCTCTGTCCCTATTCTCATCCCATGGCAGCCACTGACCTGATTTCTATCACTGTCATCCCTCTTTTCCAGAATGCCACATAAAGCAAATAATGAATAATACTGTAGATAGCCTTTTGTGGGTCACTTTTATGTGACTGTCACTTAGCACACTGCTTTTGAGATTCAACCATGTTTCCTTGTGCAAGTCGTGCCTTTTTATTGCTGAGTTATGAGATTCCACTGCATGTATCTATCATAATTTGATTATCCACTCTCCAGCTGATGGACATTTGGAGAATTTCCAGTTTTCATGACTATGAATTAGGCTGCTGTGAACATTCTCCCTCAGGGCCTTGTGCATGGATGAGTTTTTCTTTCTCTCACTTATGTACTTAGAAGTAGTGTTATTAGATTGATTGGAGAGCATATGGTTAATTCATCCGAAAATCCCAAACTGCACTGTTTCACATTCTAGCCGTAATCTGAATGATCAGATTGCTCAACATCCCTGGTCATGACTTTGCAGAATGGTTTTGAAGAACCATACTGGCACGTGTGTACTTCTCTCTTTGTGGTTTTAATCTGTACTTGCCAAAGACTAAAGTGGGATATCTTCTCTACATGTGCTTTTCTTTTAAAAAAATGATTTATTTATTTACTTGAAAGGTAGAGGAAGCAGGAGAGACAGAGACAGATCATCCTCGATCCACTGGCTCCCTTCCCAATTGGCTGCAACAGCCAGACTTGAGACAGGTCAGAGTCAGGAGCCAGGAACTGCATCCTGGTCTCTCACATAGTGGGCAGAGGCCCAGACACTTGGAGTATCTTCAGCTTTCTCAGGTGCATTAGCAGGAAGCTGGATGGGACACAGAGCAGCCAGGACTCCAACTGGTACTCCAATATGGAATGCTGGCATTGCAAACAGTGGCTTAACCCACTGCACACAACACAGGTCCCTTCATGTTCTTCTTTGTTATCTGCAGTGGCCAACCTCCAAGATGGACCTCCAGCAACCCCTAGATAATGGAATTCACACCCTCATGTAGTTCTCTCCTAAATTTAATAGGCTATGTAAAGGCAGGCATTTGGCATAGTAACTAAGATGCCACTTGGATGTCTGCATCCCACATCAGAGTACCCAGATTAGAGTCCCAGTTCTGCTCCCAACTCGAGCTTCCAACTAATGTGGACCTGGGGGGGGGGGGGCAGCAGGGGATGGCTCAGATAGCTGAGTCCCTGCCACCCACATGGAGAACTGAACTGAATTCCCGGCTCCTGGCTTCAGCCTGGCCCAGCCCCAGCCCCAGCCAATTCAGGCATCTGAGTTGTGAAGCAGCAGATGGGAGTTCTCTTGTCCATCTCTGTCTGGTCCCTCCTTTCCACTCTGTCTCAAACATTTTTTAAAAATAGAAGAAAATGGCCAGCACCGCAGCTCAATAGGCTAACCCTCCACCTACGGCGCTGGCATACCAGGTTCTAGTCCCGGTCAGGGCACCAGATTCTGTCCCAGTTGATCCTCTTCCAGTCCAGCCCTCTGCTGTGGCCCGAGAGTACAGTAGAGGATGGGTCAAGTCCTTGGGCCCTGCGCCCGCATGGGAGTCCAGGATAAGCACCTGGCTCCTGGCTTCAGATCAGCGAGGTGCGCTGGCCACAGCACACTGGCCACAGTGCATCGGCCACAGCGGCCACTGGGGGGTGAACCAACAGAAAAGGAAGACCTTTCTCTCTGTTTCTCTCTCACTGTCCACTCTGCCTGTCCAAAAAAGAAGAAAATGAAAGATAAGTTCATGTTTGTTCAAAAACTTCTGAAATTCATGTGTAGAGAGGGTCTTCAAAAAGTTATGGAAAAGCACATATTAGGAAAAACCTGTGGACGAATTTCAAAACTTAGTACTAAAGCAAACTTTTAAGTCCTTACCCCATAAACTTTTTGAAATATTCTTTTACTTTGGTTATAAACCTTTAAATAGACAAGCACTTTGCAAATCTTTACTCCAAGTTTATGGTGTTTTAAAATAATATTACAGAAGCTTTCTAGAGAAATTTTACATTTATGAAATCCAATTTTTTTTTCTTTGCCAGTTCATGCTTTTGGTGGCCTAGCTAAAAAATCTTTGCCTAATGAAAGGTTGCATTTTGTTTTCCAACATTTCCTTCCAGAAGTTTTCAAAATTTAGGTTTTGTATTAGTAGTATGATCCTTATTATCCATTTTGAGGTTTTTATAAAACCTGGTGTAGGTCCATTTTCTTTAAAAGTCTAGTTGTTCCAGCATCATTTCTAGGAAAGATTGTCCTTTTTCCATTAACGACCTCAGTACCTTCATCAAAAAATGACTGATGGGGCCACACGCTGAGGCTCAGCGGGTTAAAGCCCTGGCCTGAAGCGTCGGCACCCCATATGGACGCTGGTTCAAATCCCAGCTGCTCATCTTCCAATCCAGTTCTCTGCTGTGGCCTGGGAAAGCAGAGGAAGATGGCTCAAGTGCTTGGGCCCCTGCACCCACATGGGAGACCTGGAAGAAGCTCATGGCTCCTGGCTTCAGATCAGCACAGCGCCGGCCATTGATGCCATTTAGGCAGTGAACCAGCAGAAGGAAGACCTTTTTCTCTGTTTCTGCCTCTCACTGTCTATAACTCTACCTCTCAAATAAATAAATAAAATCTTTAAAAAAAAAAAAAAAAAACTAAATGAAAGATCTCCGCGAGTGAGATCCCAGTAGAAAGAATGGGTCATCAAAGAAGGAGGTACCTTTCTCTGAAGGGAGGAAAGAACTTCCACTTTGACCATGGATGGCCATGTCTAAAAATTATCAGAGTCAGTGAACTCAGGGGGCTTCCATAGCCTTGGCAGCTCATGACAAGAGCCTAGGGTGATTACTGATGCCATAAACAAGAGTGTCAATTTGTTAAGTCAACAACAGGAGTCACTGTGCACTTACTCCTCATGTAGGATCATTGTCCTTAGTGTGCTGTACACTGAGATTTAATGCTATAACTAGTACTCAAACAGTATTTTTCACTTTATATTTCTGTGTGGGAGCAAACTGTTGAAATCTTTACTTAATGTATGCTAAACTGATCATCTGTATATAAAGATAATTGAAAATGAATCTTGATGTGAATGGGATGGGAGAGGGAGTGGGAGATGGGAGGGGTGCGGGTGGGAGGGACGTTATTGGGGGGAAGCCATTGTAATCCATAAGCTGTACTTTGGAAATCTATATTCATTAAATAAAAGTTTAAAAAAATAAAAATAAATAAAAATAAAAAAAAAACAAACAACAACAACAAAAAAAGTGACTGACTATGTGTGAATGGTTCTATTTCTAGAATCTGCTCAGTTCCATTGATCGATTCCATCCTTCTACAAATACATGCACCTAGGAGGTGGCAGATGGTGGCTGATGCACTTGCCTCCCAGGGTGTGCATCAGCAGGAAGCTGGAATTGGAAGCAGAGACTGGAGCCCCAGCACTCAGATGCGGGATGTTGTCTTCCCAAGTGGTTGTCTCAACCACTGCACCAAATGCTCACCCCTCCTGGCTTTCTGAATGCTGAACCTACCCATCCCCTTTCGAGTCCCTACCCCATACTACAACCTCACTACATATTCAGCCATATTTTGCAGAAGAGGCAATCATAAACTTTAAATTGTGCCTCTTCTGCTCACTGATGCCAACTTTTGTGTTTTTTTTTTAAAGATTTATTTTATTTATTTGAAAGAGTTACAGAGAGAGAGAGAGAGAGAGAAAGTCTTCCATCCACTGGTTCACTCCCCAGATGGCCGCAACAGCTGGAGCTGCACTGATCCGAAGCCAGGAGTCAGGAGCTTCTTCTGGGTCTCCCACGTGGGTGCAGGGGCCCAAGAACTTGAGCCATCTTTTCTGCTTTCCCAGGCCACAGCAGAGAGCTGGATCGGAAAAGGAGCAGCCAGGACTAGAACTGGCACCCATATGGGATGCCGGCGCTTCAGGCCAGGGCTTTAACCCGGTTCACCACAGTGCCAGCCCCGATGTCAACCTTTTGACTTGCAATGTTCTTCCTTCACTTGTCTGGATCCTGATCTCCCTTCAAGTCGTTCTAACTCTACCACACTTCCTCCATGACGCTTGTTCCAGTTACTTCAGTGCCCCGCACCCTCTTTCTGTCTCTCCTTCTCCCTTTCTTCCTGAGCCAATCATTTGGATGTGAGCACTCTGGGAGGAGGCCAGGGATGAAAACAAAAGTCACCGGAGGGCATTCGAGAGTAGGATAATACTGCAGAGTCACAGTTGGCATTCTGTTCCTGGTGTCACAGTCCAGGAAATTGCTTGCTCCAGTTCCGGGGAGATTCCAGTCATGCTGTTTCTGATCAAAGATAATCCTCATTTCTCCCCTCCCACTCTTGGAACAATTCTGGAAGACTGGAAACACAAAGATAAACACAACCTCTGGCTTCTCCCAAAGTCTTTTGTAGAACTACAGATACATGAATAAGTGAAATGTTACATGTCTGTTCATGTACACTACACAAAGCTAAGACCTGGCTGACATCTCTGAATTTTAATTTATATGTAATTTATTATTATATTAATTTATTATTATTATTATATGAATTTACTTACTGCCTGTGTTGAAATCTCCACTCCTTTGTAGTCCCCTGGCTTCTTTCTCCCCATGGAAAAATGCTATTCAACATATAAAAAACAAAATATTTGGTCTCATAAACACATTAACATCCCTTTAGTATTATTCCTCTTAGTTTTACACAACCAGTTTCTTTATCAAACTGTCATGAAATAGAAGGCTTAACTCATGAAAATCATCTTGAATATCTCATCATCATCTCTGAACAGAAAATCCATTTGAAATATAGCAATTGGTTTTGATTAATGATTAAACATAAAAGGCACCTTAGTTAAAACTAATGAATGTGACATCAGTTGTTTTTTTTCTTTTTCTAAATATTTATTTTACTTAATTGAAAAGAGGAGTGAGAGAGGGATTGGGAGAGACAGAAAGAGGTCTTCCATTTGCTGGTTCACTCCCCAAATAGCCGAAATGGTGAGGGCTGGGCCAGGCCGAAGCCAGGAGTCTGAAACTCCATCCAGGTCTTCCACGTGGGTGCAGAGGCCCAAACACTTGGGCCATCTTCTGCTGCTTTCCCAGGCACATCAGCAGGGAGCTGGGTCAGTAACAGAGAAGCTGAGACTCCCACTGGTGCTCTCATATGGGCTGCCAGTGTTGCAACTTGATGGCTTAACCCAGTGCACCACAACGTTGGCCACTGGCATCCCTGTTTATGGAAGCATTTTGTCACCTATGATTATGGCATCTTCAACTTTGGCCTTCATGGCAGTCCCCAGATAAATAATTCCATCACCTGGGGAAGGAGCTTCAAATTGCTAAAGACTTCATTTTTTTTTTTAAGTACGTTTGTCTCAGTGTGACAGATACTACCAAGGAACCGCCTGGGGAAACAGAAATTGCCAAATGTTGGGTTCACACAACCCACCCTGATAGAATCTTAAGACACAGCAGTAAAACTTTGGTGATTTCCATGATCCCAGATGAAAAACAAAGAAGAGAGTCTTATACTGTAAGTGGTAGCGGGGATTTTTCTCCCTTATGTTGGAACTCAGCTCATGAAAATTCATCTGGAGTTTACTGCACCGAATGACCAGAATCAATCGATGGCTTGCCCAGACAACACGAGTCAGCTGCAGAGGGACTTACGGGCTGGGTTCCTGACAAACCTGTTTCGTGTGTGATCCACGGTTCAATTCTGATGCAAGTCTGAATTCTCCCTTGAACAGTTTGGGAGTCAAGGGCCTGAGAAAGTTCGTGTGTTCCTCTTTCTGCAATCCCCTGGTCCTCTGATTTTTGGTATGTTTTTCTAGCTAAGCCTTTGTCAGCTGAAAGTAAATAATTTATTAGTTCTGGTGAGGATGTGATGCTGCAGGAATAAACAGCATGATGCAGTTTATATAAGGAATGTTTTTAAAGTACACAGCTCTGTGAAGATGCTTCCTCAGTGGTGCCTAAACATGATCCCTGAAGCCAGAAGGGACAGACCGGAGAGGTCATGACGGAAGAGCCCAGATGAAGAGGAGGGCCACGGCCACCCCTGCCAGCTCCCGCAGAACCGCAGCACATCACAGCACGAAGTTCCACAAACACACAAGAGTCTACCGTCCACACACCCCGGCCCGGCCCCTCCCAGTCTCCGTTCAGACATTCCCCTTCTGAAGGTGTTTTTGCCATTTTATTTGAGAATTTTTCAGCTCCCCCGTAGCAAACAGGACAAGCAAATGGAAATGCTGAAACACAGACAAAACATTAAATACAGATAGTGAGAACAACAGTAATTGTGAGATGCGAGAGAAACTGATGCAAGTGTCACTCGTGGGTGGCGAGTCCCTGAGCTACAAGACACTTGAGGCGGAACAAGTAAGGAGAGCTTAAGGAGGCGCTGCGATTTGTTTCCCAAGGGTTGGTGTGGGAGCTTGGTCCCCGTGCGGCAGCACCTTTACCAAGGGAAGCAGTTAGGTCCCGGCTCCACCCTCAGGAAGGAACTGATGATGTCACAGGTCTGGATCCCTTAGAAGTGGGTGAGCTCTCAGAAAGAGTGGGATGTTAAAAAAGAGCAAGCCGGCCCCCTCCCAGTTTCTTTACTGTTATTATTATTAATTATTGTTGTTTGTTATTTAAGGCAGGGGGGAGAGACAGCCTGCTCCCATCTGCTGGCTCACTCCCCAGATGTCCTCAACAGCCAGGACTGGGCCAAGCAAGGAACTCCATCCAGGCCTCCCACATGTGTGGCGGGGACCCAAGAACTTGGGCCATCCCTACTGCCTCCCAGCGTGTGCATTAGCACAAAGCCGGGTGGAGCGACAGAGACGGCGACTGACCCCTGGCACTGCAATGCTGAACGTGAGCATCCTAACCAGCATCTTCCCCGGCACCCCTCTGCATGCAGCTGGCTCCCTCTCTGCCGGCCCACCCTGTTGTGACACAGCCAGGGGGCCCTCACACGGTGCTAGCACGACCCTATGGGGCATTCCAGGCACCAGACGTCTGAGCTGCATGACCTCTTTCATTTATACACTACCCAGCAATAGATATTCTGTTAGGATGCATGAAACAGACCAAAAGAGTATCTTAAACACAGGTGGCGATAGAGGGACCAAAAGGCATGAAATTGGTTCATGAGTCACAAAAATCCATGATCTACTAAGTATTGATGCGGCAAATGTGACACCATACATGATAATGAGAAGACACCAAATATTCAGGAGATGTAAATTGCACACCACACACACACACACACACACACACACACACCCAGGTGATACCCATTCTGGCCCAGGTTCTCAGCCTGAGATGAAATCCACAAAGCCATAGCTTCCTGGTAAGCTGGTGCTGAGATCAGGATGCTTTTGCCTTATTGCTCTTCTATAGCATAAGTGTTCACTGACTTCTGGATCCTTCCATCTGCTGAGCCCCTTGCTCACCCTCAATTTGGATTCTTTTAATCACACTGGCCATGGAGATGGCAGATAAGGGAGAGAAAAGTAAGACTTAGAAGTACTGTAAGAGAGAACATTCACATCCCATGTCCAGTTCTTACCCTCTACCCTCTTCTCAGTGTGCTAACTTATCCCACCTCTTTCTCCTGCGTCTCTATGTTTACATCAACTCGATGAACCACAAGCTCTGATGATATGTGTTTGCATTCTGAGTCTTTCCATTCTGTGTCTTCTTGGATGGCACAGCCTACCTGATTGTACGCTTGGAAACTGCTGCTCCATTGAGGCCACTGCCACGTGATGCCTGCCCACCATCTCAGTGTTGCCTCTCAGCCTTGCTCGAACACCAGTTTGAGTCCCGGCTGCTCCACTTTAGATCTAGCTTTCTGCTATGGCCTAGGAAAGCAGAAGAAGATGGCCCAAGTCTTTGGGCCCCTGAACTCACGAGGGAGACCTGGAGGAGGCTCCTGGCTCCTGGCTTCAGATCTGCACAGCTCCAGCCATTGTGGCCATCTGGGGAGTGAACTATTGGATAGAAGACCTCTCTCTTTCTTTCTCTCACACTCTCGCTCTCGCTCTCGCTTTCTCTCTCTCTCTGACTCTCTGTAACTCTGCCTTTCAAATAAATAAAGAAATCTCTAGAAAGAGAGAGAGAGAGAGAGAGAGAGATCCTAGCAGGATCCAGATGCCACTAAGCTTCCTGGGCTTAGAACCTCATACTATCATTTCGTTAAGACTATGAAGCCCCTCCCCACATGTCAGGCATTTTCCCGATGACTAGGCTAATTTTCCTTACAGAATCTCCCAATCTTCCACGATATTCAGGTTGATAGTTCTACATTTTATTATTTTTGCTTACATTCTTTTATTTATTTACTTATTTTTGGCTTATTTTACCATGAACAAACCTCAATTAAAAAAAAGTTTTATTTCCTTTTTTATTTTAAAGGCAGAGTAACAGAGGTGGGGGAGAAGGGGAGAGAGGTCTTCCATCCATTGCTTCACTCCCCAGATGGCCACTGGGGCCAGCACTGGGTCAAGCCAAAGACAAAAGCTGGAAGGATCCAGGGGTGGCAGGAGTACAAGCACTCAGGCCATCTTCCATTGCTTTTCCCAGGCCATTAGCAGGGAGCTGGATGGGAAGTGGAGCAGCAGGGACACAAACTGGTACCCACTGGGGATGCTGGCCATGCAGCAAGAGGCTTTATCCACTATGCCACAATATCAGCCCCCATATTCAAATTATTAATGATATTAAGTAGGTCACTAGCTCTATGGTAAAGGAATCTGAAAAAGTATGTGCATTTCTTGCTACATAATTTGATCAGTAGGACGTGGCTTAATGCAAGTAGCTCATTAGTAGGAAATTCACGTATCCAAAAAGCGAGTCAAGAAATGCAGGGGTCTTGGCACGTTTAATATTTCTAAACACGGTGCAGTCAACAATATTTCTGTTGCTGAGGAAAAGAACGGCATGTCATATGGAAGCTGGATTTTTATAAGTCACAATTCTTCCTTTGTGAACATTAAAGATGGAATAAAAGTCATTATCAGTGGAGTATTCTCCTAGTCTAAATAGTAAAATAGAACTTAATAAAGGGATTTTTTCATTTTGCATAAATTTTAGTATAATTTATGAAAAAAATTTTCCTGATTCCAAAAGCTTATTTACCACCATTTTCTATTCTTATCATAATTTTGCTCCTTTAGATCATTAATTTTTAAAGATTTATTTGTTTGTTTGTTTGTTTAAAATGCAGAGTTACAGAGAAGAAGAGGCAGAAAGTGAGAGATGTCTTCCTTCCACTGGTTCACTCCCTAAATGGCCACAACGGCTGGAGCTGGGCTGATCAGAAGCCAGGACCCAGGAGCTTCTTCTGGATCTCCCACGTGTATAAAGGGATCCAACGGCTTCTTGGGCCATCTTCACAGCTTTCTCACACACATCAGCAGGGAGCCGGATTGGAAGTGGAGCAGCCAGGTTTCAAACTGGTGCCCGTATGGGATGCCGGCCCTGCAGGTGGAGGCTTTACCCACTACGCCACAGCACCTGCCCCTGGGTCATTAAGGAAATGATTTTTTAAGTCCCTTTTTGAAAATGAGTGACTGATTTGAAAGTGTTACAGAAAGAAGAGAGACAGAACTTCCATCCACTGGTTTACTCTCAAATGCCTGCAACAGCCAGGGCTGGGCCAGGTCAAAACCAAGAGCCAGGAACCCCATCTGGGTATCTCATTTGGGTGGCAAGAACCCAGGTACCCTAATTACCATCAGCTGCCTGCCATGCACATTACCAAGAAGCTGGACTGGAAGTGCAGAGCAGCAAGGACTCAAAATGGCACTCCTATATGTGATGCAGGCATCTGAAGCAGCGGCTTAACCTGCTACACCCCAACTCTGGCCCTGATTTTTCTCAGGTGCTTCAAAGTCTTTCTCCCACTGCTGTCCCTAGTTACCCAGATCCTTTCTCCGCAAGCAACAAGGGTGGAGAAATTAGATAAAATAGAATAATTCAAGTAACTCAACCAAATTTAATTTTTATACTATTCCCAAGTGTGATGAGTATGAAAGGCAATAATTTAATTGATTATCATCAAAATACATTTAAGATTGGCACTACTGATCATGAACTAATATGAAAATAGTTAAACAAAATTTTTGGTACTTAACAATATGCAAAGGAATCTTCAATTTATATTTGTTCATACTCACGGAAATTCATTAAATGCCTGGCACTTAATCATCTGGGTTTCTTTATTGTGATTTATTCCCATCCTCTTTTTGATTCTCTATGACGTGTTCATCCTCTTTTATAAAAAAAAAATAGTATAAGTATTCACTATGTATAGGAGATATAAACCAGTTGTAAAGACAATACTTCAATTCAGATTTCTCTCTCTCCTTCAGATAGGGTTCTCACTCTCCTATGCATTTCTCTCACTGAATAAAAAGCTTAAAACTTAAAAAAAAATAAAAGACAATACTTCAGGGCAGGCATTTGGCACTCAGTTAAGTAGCTGGTTGGGACATCCCCACCCCATATTGGAGTGGTTTGAATGTTGGCTATGCTGCTTCCAACTCAGCTTTCTGATAATGAACTCCCTGGGAGGCAGCAGGTTACAGTTCAAGTCCCTGGGTCCCTGCCACCCACTAGGAAGATCCAGATAGTGTTCAGCCAGGCACAGCTCCAGCTCTCGCAGGCATTTGGGAAGTGAATCAGTGGATAGAAAATCTTTTTTAGCATTTTCTCTGTCTCCCTCCCTTTCCCACTCCTTCTCTCCTTTTCTCTCTGTCTTTCAAATAAAAACAAAAATAAAAAATAAAGAAATATTTTAAAATGGTTCTTCAAATTAGGCTTTGTCAAAATTTTTAACATTTTCCAAAAATTCTGCAAAGCACTTAACTAGATAATCTCATTTAATGCTCAAAGCACCCTCTTGAGTGGGTATAATTATTATTTCTATTTAACAGAAAAGGAATTGAGACAGCTGGATGAATTAATTTCCCAGAGGTGGTACAGCTAGAAAATACAGTCAGATCTTAATTCAATGAGTTCACTCATTTCTTCATAATGTTAATAGCATATTTAATGCCCTTTAATGCTACTCGGAGCTTTTGGTGTGGATATTCTCAAGTCCTAGTCTCTCCATCTGCCTGCATTAGCTTCAAGTTTCTTTTTCCTGCTTTGATGACTGAAAATCAATCTCTTACTAAGATTCAGTTGCTGAAGTGAGGGGGGTGTACTAGAGGCAACAGGCTGCACAGGGTCCCAGGCCACCATTCTCGTGAGTTCATTTACCTATTCTACAAACATCATCGTGATACCACACCCTGTCTTTTTTCTACAGGAACCACATGCCCTGAGCAAACAATATGGTAGCCCCCAGACTGGCTGGAGCCCATGTGGCCATTCTCAAAATTCCCAAAAGAACATGATGGCCATCCTATCATTGACTAATCAAGGAAGACCCTGAATACAGAGATATGCACACAAGCTGAACACTCACCTCTTAACTGAAACTTCAGCTGGAAGATTCCTTATCTTTAATCCCTCGTGCAGTTTGGGAATTAAGCAACAACTGCCCATACTCCTTTCTCTGTGCTTTGCAAAAATAGAAAGCTACTTCCTCCCAATCCCCAACCCAGATGCCCAGTAATGACTCAATGCACGTTGGGTAAGTAGATTCAGAGTTTGGGGTTCTGTCACAATGACATCTGAAAACATTTTTCACTCTATCTTTTGGCATTGTTTATGTTGACTATGACATCACAAAGTTTCATTTTTATACAGTATTAGTCAGCAACGTTCTGCAGTTTCATCACACTTAATGCTCAAGATAAGATAAATATTAGGTAATCTTTTCTAGTGCTCCAGAGTATCTTTTATTTATTCACTGATCAATATGATATTTATTTTCTGTGTTCACTATGAAGACAGAAATAACTTGATTTTTGCCCTAAATAGCTCCCTAATTGCCAGAACACCACTGATTTTTCTTTTACTAGTAAATGAATTTATTTTTATCACAGAAACTAAGCCACATTTATCTTTATAAATTTGAAAGACAGGAATTTAAAAACATACTGTACTATGATAATGTTATTATAGCATCACTTTGAGCAGAACATTAATATTTGCACTCTAACATTAAAAATCTGTCAAGAATGCAATTCCAAAAGTGGACTTTAGAAGAAATGGCAAACTATCAGGGTCCCTGCCTTGCACAATGGGATGACTCCTGGAGTGCAACCAAGTACTTTCTGGTAAATGATGCCCCTGGTCTATGAAGACCTGGCCCTGTCACCAGCAACTAAATTTGGTTGATACGTTGGTCTGGGCTCCCCATGAGCCATAACCTCTCCAAAAATTCAGGTGCAGATAATCTATCTGCAAGGTTATCTCAGGAAACACTGGCAGAGTAGGGAATTGAAAGAAGAAACAAAAACAACCAAAGAAGAGCACATTCTCAACCCTTCTACTGCTGTGGATAATTGAACCTTAAGCTTGTAGGGAACACGGCGAGTCTGTGCAAACCTGGTTCCTCAGAGTTGTCCAGCAGAGAGGTCACAGAGCTGGAGATTTCATGCAGCAACTCTCATCTGAGAAAGGAAGAGGGGGTGGGAGGTGCTGATCATGCCAGTGAGGCCCCACGGGACTCAGGTAGACACTGAGTTCCTTCTCCAGTTGATAAACAGAAGTGCACTTAGGAATGGTCTTCAATGAGTTGCTTAGTTAGAGGAAGTCTTCGGAATGAGTCCGTTGTGAGATGTTGTAGATGGGCTGTGAATACTTCCTAGGGTGACTGCTCTACCCCATAGTGACCATTCTGATCTATTCTTGCACTACTACAATATTTGAATCATAAGAGTTACACATTTAAGATGAATCACTCATCTTTACATTCTCCTCAAGAATATTTTAGCTAGTCTCATGTTTCCAGACACAGTTGAGACTTTTACATCAAACCCAACAGGCATAAAAAAAGAAATCCTATTAGTAGTTATGTCACGATTTGAGAAAATAATTTAGAAAGCATGAGCGTCTGCTAAATAAAATCAGTCTCCCTGTACTCATCTTTACTCTATGATCTATAACTGCATACTCAACTCTTCTTTTATATTTGGGGCAGTGGTTAAGATGCAACTTGGGAGGTCCACATCCCATATCTACGTCCCTGGTTACAGGCCCAGCTCCTCGGCTTCCAACCCAGCTTCCTGCTAATGTACCCCCTAGGAGGCAGCAGGTGACAGCTCAAATACTTGGATTCTTGCCACTGACACAGGAGACACAGATTGAGTTCCAGGCTCCTGGCTTCAGCCTAGCTATTTCAGGCCTTGAGGGAGTGAAACAGCAGATGGAAAATCTGTCTCTGTCTTTCTCTTTCTGTCTCTCTGCCTTTCAAATAAAGTGAGATCCATTAGTTAAAATACCTTCAACTAAAAAGATTACTTCTGGATATGATACATTAAATATAAGTTATTGAATTGTATACATTTATGTTATTATATTTATTCTTTTATTGTAACCTTTTCTACTATTTTGTTGTGTTAGCTAGGTTATAATTAAAGATTCTAACAAATGAATAATCATATAAGTCTATCATTAAATATTTATCCCTTTTTACCCAAAGTATCATCTCAAAGGCACTCTATCCTTTGGGTGGAAAAAGACATATTTAGTTCTTATCTATCATTCACAAACTCACAAATGAGGTCCTCTTTAGGAGATCTAACTACAATAATCTAACTACAGGAGAAGGAGAGAAAGTACCACAAGAAAGAAAAGGCTGGGCCTTGATTCTGGACCTGTGGAGACAGGCTATGAACAAAGCTGGGCTGGGGAAATACCCGAGAAGAATGTTTTCTCTTTTGCAAGGATGATTAGAAAATCCTTGCTCTCAAATGATCTTTCCACTTATCAACCTGGCTCTTTCCCTTGTCTCTGTCTGGCTACTGTTTCCACTCCACTGGATGACAAGAAAGAACTGAGACGCCTTTTCGAAGAGAGCTTGGCTCAGTACCCACACACTTCCTGAACTGCCCAGGCCTGCGTGCTTGGGGTATGAATGGTAGAATGTTCTGGATTTGATTATGACACAACTGAATTGTGAAGCATTTTCATAAGTTTCTGGAACTTAGGACACACACAGAAAAATAAAGGATTTCATTACATTTTACTCTGGGGAGCTGAGACAAAGTGCTGAAACATAATAGCACAAGGAGATGACTTTAGAGAGATTAGCAGCATTTAAACAACTGTAAACAAAAAGGAGAAAGAATGTCTACTATCCACAAGCTCAAAAATGATCTCCATCAGCACCATATGAAAGTACTTCAAAGAGTTTCTGGAAAATGGGGCAGGTGTTGCGGTGCAGCTACTTGGACACCGACATCCCATGTCAGAGTGCCTGGGATTGAGACATACCTCCATGTCTGCTTTTGGTCCAGCTTCCTGCTAATGCACTTGGGAGGCAGCAGATAATGGCTCAAGGACTGAGTCCCTGCCACCCATGTAGGAGACACAGATGTAGCTCCTGGCTCCTGTCTTTGCACTGGCCCAGCCCCAGCTCTTGTAGGCATTGAAAGAGCGAACCAGTAGGGGTGTGTGTGTATCATTTACCTTTAAATTAAGTAAAATGAAAAATAAGCATTTTGAAGAAATCTTATTTGATTGAAAATAAGGGGAAAAGGGAAGAGAGGCATGGAGGAAAGGAAAGAAGAAGAAAGGAAAGGAGGGGAAAGAGAAGAAAGGAAGAACCTCTTACACAGCTATCAGTTTCAAGTGATTTCTGCAATCATATCTAATTCCCACTTCTCTAAATGACTTTTTGGTCTTTATTCAGTACTCCTGCAATTCACCTTCCTGCATACCCTTGTGGAAAAATTATTCTAGGGGTTTGCCAGGTGGGAGTACTGCTATCCGACTGCCCATTAATGGGCTTCCTCTTGTGCCCCAAATTTTGCAGTTTCGTCCCTACTCTTTTCCTACAAGTTCCCCGATCTTAGGCTCTAGAAGTTGACCCGATCACATGTTTTTAGGCTTCTGATTCCTTAGGAGAGCTGCTCAGGACATGGTCACACATGTGCAAAGAGACACAGGGCAGAGGACTGCACATCATACAGCAACAGCATGTGCAGAAGAAACCTAACCTGTGAAGCCAAAAAGATCAGAGCACCACCTGACATTAAATGCACCAGAGCCCTTTCAGAAGCAAGGGGCCCATCCAACCAGAAAATCTGGAATTGAAAGCCTGAAGCAGACATATGGGGCAGTGGTTAAAATATCACTCGGGAGCTCTGCATCCCGTATCTCAGTGCCTGTGCTTGGGTCCTGGCTGTACTCCTCAGTACAGCTTCCCTCTTCTGTGTATCCTGGATTCAAATAGCTGGGTCCCTGCCACCCACGAGGGAAATGTGGATTGAGTTCCTGGCTTCTGACTTTGACCTGGCCCAACTTATGTGGGCATTTGAGGAATGAAACAGGAAATGGGAGAACTCTCTCTCTCTTTCTCTCTTTCTCTCTCTCTCTCCTACGTCAATAATTTTAAAAAATAATAATAATAAAAGGAAATAACCCACTTACCATGCTGCTCTGACTCCAAGCCCCTCTAATCAGAAATAGCGAGGCCAGCATTTCTGCATGCCAGATTTTCCCTACCTAATCCATAAAACTACCCCCAGACCCCTGACTGAAGAGGTAGGGTTAAGTCACATTCTCTGGCCTCTTCACGATGCATAATAAAGACTTTCTCTTCTCAAATGACTGATGCCAAAGGTTGTTGTTATGTGCACAACAAACACCATATCTGGCTCATTTGGTAACAATTTCTGGCAAGCACAAAGGAATTTCAGGTCTTAGGACCATCTGCCAGTGGCATCACGTGCCTGCTGCAAAAGGAAGAAGGCTGGGGCCAGCACTATGGCATAGCGCCTACAGTGCCTGCATCCCATACAGGCGCCGGTTCGAGACCCTGCTGCTCCTCTTCCAATCCAGCTATCTGCTATGGCCTGGGAAAGCAGTGGAAGATGACCCAAGTCCTTGGGCTCCTTCACCCACGTGGGAGACCCGGAAGAAGTTCCTGGCTCCTGGCTTCGGACTGGCACAGCTCCAGCCGTTGCGGCCATCTGGGAAGTGAACCAGCAGATGGAAGACCTCTCTTTCTCTCTCTGTCTCTGCTTCTCTGTAACTCTGCCTTTCAAATAAATAAATCAATCTCTTTTTTCCATTTTTTATTTAATAAATGTGAATTTACAAAGTGCAACTTTTGCATTGTTGTGGCTCCCCCCCCAACCTCCTTCCCTCCCGCAGCCCTCCCATCTCCCACTCCCTCTCCCATCCCACTCTTCATCGAGTTTCATTTTCAATTATTTTTATATACAGAAGATCAACTCAGTATATACTAAGCAAAGATTTCAGCAGACTGCACCCACACACCCACAAAAGATATAGAGAACTGTTCGACTAGTAGTGTTATCTTTAACTCTCATAGTAAAACACATTAAGGACAGAGATCCTACGTGGGGAGCAGATGCACAGCGACTCCCATTGTTGATTTAACAATAGACACTCTTATTTATGATGTCAGTAATCACCCAAGGCTCTTGCTATGAGCTATCGAGACTATGGAAGCCCCTTGAGTTCACCAACTCTGAACTTGTTTAGTCAAGGCAATATCACAGTGGAGGTTCCTTCCTCCCTTCAG